TTGTGTCCAAGTACATTTTATTTAACTATTTTTAAAGCACAGTGCTGTGCAGTAGCATTTTCAGAATGGCTGCTAATTGTATTGCTCTCTTAACTGGCCCTTTCATTCTAGAGTGCTACGGCTCTCCATTTTCTACACCCTAGGTTGATTACGTTAAATTGAAGTTTTAGGGCCAGGAACCATATTATCTTACTAATATAACACACTTTGTACACCTGTGCATGTCTAAAATAATATCCCTTTTGGATGCCATATTCAGAAGGCAGCTTGCTAAGCTGTTTCTAAGTTTTCCTTCTAAATTCACTATTCATTTGAGCACACAGTTCTGTAAGAGTGCTGCATAATCTAGAATTTTCAAAGCATTTAGCTTTGGTCTAATGTTTCATCTTAAGTCAATGAAAATTTAACTGTTGACTTCATCACATCAGACATAGAGTTTATCCAGTACCTTGAATGTGACCTTCCACTGCTGGTGTTAGAACAGCAGCCAGTACTGATGAGTGCCATGCTAAATTTAAAAGCTGTTCTTGTATTTTTTAGAAAGTATCTCATACTCCTTGTTTTATATGCATCTCTTATGATTATACATTAGTTGGTGTTGCACTAAAAGTGCATATATTGCTTAGCTACACCAATGTTGTTAACTCAGTATAATTTGTATGCATACTTTTTGCCTTTTAAAAACAGTATTTGGCCTGCTGATGCCTTTTGTAGAATTCTTAATGAATTTTTCATAGGAAGCCCATTTCTGCTTACATTAAAGAGGAAAAGGACAAATAACATCTGGCAAAGGGAAATCATAGCTATTGATTCCCTGACGTGGTGCTAACGCAGCTCCCAAACATGGCTGTGAGAAAAATACAGCACTTGCTTGCTGATACGATGTATTAGTTAGCCATTTGTTGTGTGCTGCTGACAGCTTTATGGATGTTTACAGTTAAGGATGATGCTGAAGTGCTGATACTAGAAATTGTGTAGCTTTTGCCTGTAATAAAGCAACCAAGGTTTTGTGTAAGCTTTTTTTTTTGAAATTGCAGACCTCTCTTTTTATTGTGTATCTTTTTATATACTGCCACTTGTCTTTTTAGGGTAACAGAAATAACTATTGCTCTGTGTTGTGTTGTGTGGTGTGTGAATAATTTTTAAAATTAGTTTACTTAAATAAGCTTGTTACTCCCAGTAGGGCTCAGAGTTTGCCTTTAGGAGTCGGATTGTTTTTGAGAGGGGTTTAAATGTTGTCTGTTCACTTGGTTATCTTTCAAAGATTGAGACTGATTTTTATACTTCTGACAGAGAAAGTAGATGTTCTATTCCCTGTTGATAGGTACATTGTTTAAACTGCCAACAAATGGGAGTTAATGAGAGTGCAAATACTCTTTCAACCAAGGCTTTAATCAAAGCTAGAACTAGAACATGTTTTTAGTTAATCTAAAATAATACCTTAGTTCAGTTTACATGCTGTACTTTCAGTGATGATGTACTGAGACTGCCTTTGCAACATAATTTATTAAAAGATGTAATACAAAAAATCATAAAGAATTTGTGAAATAATGGAATTTCCAGAAGTCTCCAGTGTCTTATGCCATTTATGGCTACTCACCTGGTGTGCCTTACCTTTTAAAAGAAATCTTGTTAAATTATTTATAAATAAGCTAACAGTGATTATGGTTCTAGTTTAGTTTTGTAGGGGGTTTTAGTATCTCTTTGTTTTCTTCTCTCTTTATTTAATTTTCCAATAGTTGTGGGCTCCATTCAAGAATAAAGTCAAAAGCATTTTTACCTCCAGTATTACTGGAAAGCTAAATACTCTGGGAAATAGCAGGTTCCGTTCTTTTCTGCTGTTACATCAGCAGCAGCTCTTCTCTCTCCATTAGTATCCATATTTCATAATGCATGGATTTTATCCCACATAATTTATGGATGAAATATTGCCTACTGCCAATACCAGAACCTCTAGACCCCTGCACAAACAGTACTGGCAGGGAGCATTGCCCAGACCCTGACTTGCCCTTTAGTTAGGCTAAAGATACCCCCTGACCTGCTCTTGCTTTTCTGAAAATGTAGGCTGTATTAGTGACCAGAAAAAATACTAGATGCTGATATGAGATGTGTCCTTGGTCTTGGAGACCAGATCCACAAAATTCTTCAATTCATGGCTGCATGACTTTGTGGAGGCCTCAGTAATTAATTAGTAAAGCCTTCTGGGTGCCTCGAGTTCTTCAGAGTACAGCAGAAGAGGTGCCACCTGTGGCAAAGCTAATCTTGACCCACCTATTTCACACACAAGCATTCTTAAAACTTGCCTGTCTCTGCTGGCCCAGGGGACCCAAAGTGAGTGCCTCAAGCCTGAACCCATTTGCAGTTGGTAACATCAGTGTGCTGATGGCAAAGCCCCAGGCAGTCCTGCGTAACCCTTGCCAATTATGCACTGACAGCGCTGAGCTCAATGCAAGACACAAACTGCCATTCTGATTCAGAAATACAGCACTCAGCAGAGGGGTGAATGCAGGTTGTACAGCTGCTTTGTGTTTGGATCACTTGCCAAGGGCATAGGCAAACAGCTGGAATCTGCTGTCCTCTCTAAAAGCAGCACTTCATAGTCTGGGATAAGACTCCTTCCTATCTTGTTGAAGATGCGCAGAGGGAGTTCAGGACTCGTGGAGACAGAGTGCACATGGGTCCTCACTTCTGTACCTGTTGAGGGGAACCTTGCTGAGATGTGGTTTTCTGTCTGTAGATGCAGATCCATGTATAAATTCTGCATTAAAGAGACGCTTGATATAATGCACGAGCCCTGTTTGAAGCAGAGTGCTGTAGCATTGCTTCAGTGAAATTATGAGTG